GCCAAATGTAATATTCTGCTTTGGAATAAAAGATATTTTGACAAAAGTGGTCCTGACTGAACTACCTTTGGGTTAAAGGGTAACCTCAGACTGCAATACATGGACCAAGATTTTGGCAACAACTTCTTCAATCTGAATTCTACCACTGAACTTCAGGATTTGGGGACAATCGAGGTGATCCACCAGCAAACAAATCCACCTTTGACTAGTGACACTCAGTCCACTTCATCTCTGTCTCTTTTATTTGAGTCTGATGACGGTGCTTCGTTGGCATCAAATGACACAATTATCCTGTCATCCCCTGAGTCTGTGTCATCTTGAACAAAACAGTGGCGAGTGGACTTTGCAATGGGCGCCCGGTTAGCTCAGTCAGTAGAGCTGGCGACCCATATACGCGGCGACCCATGTACGCAGTGGCCCGGGTTCGAGTCCGACCTGCGGCCCTTTGCTGCATGTCGTCTCCTGTCTCTCTCCAGCTATCCCTGTCAAATAAAGGCATAAAGTCCCCCCTCTCTTGGAGCGACAGATGGAAAGCTTCTTTGTCAGGGAATGAGTATTTTTCAATTAAGTTCTGAATAAGAAATTAAGCTCTTACTCGTCCCCTCTGCGACAGCGGTGTGCCAGTGGTTAAAGGCGCAGCAAAGCACAGCATATTCGCCCGGCTCCAGCATGACGTCGCTGCCCACGAACCTCCTCACCGAGCGCCGGCTGTGAGCCAGCAGGCGACCCAGCGACAGGGTGCCCGAGCTGTCGTAGGAGACCCGAAACACCAACACACACAAATCCAACAGGTGGCTCTCTGCTGTGTCCCATCGCCTGAGGGCAGAGGAGGAAAAGTTTATACAAGGGTCAGTCGACAATTTACTGGCTCAAATATTTGTAAGAAAATACCAAATCTCAGAAAAGACTTTTAGCAGTTTGTATTAAAATTATTTAAATTGGGGGGAAAAGCAGTTTGCCAATGCCGATTTATAAAAAGTTTTAAATAATTGTGGCAGCTTGTTCCTCAATATCTATGATGTCTCTTTTATTTATTATTAATTATTTACCATTTCAGTATATATGCGTGTATAAGTGCCTGTACGCAGTATATATATTATATATATCTATTTATTTCTTCATTTTGATGTTAAAAAAAATAATAATAATAACTTCAAATGTTGCTCAGTGTTTGTAAAATAAAGATTTACACTGAGAGTTGTCCTACCTGCTGCCCTGCTGGAATAAAGCCAGCTCCACTGCCGTTCTCTCCAGCACCGTGATGGACGCCACCGTCACCGGGACGTTGGCTCCTCGGGGGAAAACACCCGGTACTCGAACCTCCTGCCAGTCTGAATGAATCTTACAGATATCCACTGAGTCAAAGTACCTGCCAGGGTCAAACACACACTCACAGACATGTGTGAACGCATAAACACACACACTTATAAAACATGGGATTTAAAATGCAAAGATCTTCCTTTTCTCATGGATGAATTTATACTCTTTTGTTTTTCTGACTAAGCAATGCAAATTATAAAAGCTCATTTATTAACTCCCGATCTACCTGATGAAATCCCAGAAGTCCATCCAGAAGAGGCCGTCCTCAGCTCGCTGGGCGCAGAGCTCCCTCTTCAGGTGCGGAGGCCAGTTTGGCCAGTCGTCCGCCCAGGGTCCAGTCCAGGAGAAACGGCCCCACGGGTTCCTCAGCTGCAGCAACCTGAAACAGACGTTAGATACTGCCAGAGGTGTGGGCTCCAGTCACAAAGCAAATGACTTTAATAACTGTGATGACTTGAAAACAGAGAACTAAATGCAACAAGTCAGAACGAAAACATACATAATTCATTCTGTTGTGATTAATAGTGTCATATGTACAGAAACTCTACTAATCACTCGGAGGTCCAGTGTGTAGGATTTAGTGACATCTAGTGGTGTAGTTGTAGATCGCAACTCACTCATTTTACTCTCCCTTTCAAACCATGAGGGTGAAACTACGGTGGCCATGAAACAACACTATAGATTCCTCACCTGTGACTGTCAACATCTTTCACATCGAGGACAGAGTAGGCGTGACGTGGACGTAAACCCAGGGACTCGTACTCTGAGTCATCCACCTTCATGTTCCCACCTCCACAAGATGCCCCCATCAGGAAACTAGCAGCACCAAAAAAACAATTGTTAGGATTAATATTTTAAACCAGATTTAATTTAAAACCCCCCTCCCGCTCACAGTGTGTCCTGACACTCACCCTGCTTCTTTAGAGCTCAGCATTTTGGCCCAGATGAGGTCTGTGTCGATGGGTTCTTCCTTCGGGTTGGTGGCGCTGACCTGGAGGGCCAACGACTCGCAGGGGGCCCCGGTCAGTGTGGACAGGCCCTCGATAGCGCGGCCCGCCTGCAAAGCAAAGTAGGAACCGTGGAGCTTGGCCAGGGCTTTTTCAATCAGAGCCACCCAGAGCTGCTTCCGCTGCGCCTGGAAAGGGGAAGGGAGGAAAAAAAAGGATTAGGAAAGAATTTATAGTTAAGTAATTAAGTCCTGGAGAACAGCTTAAAAACCATATCTGGTGATGGGCAGCCGAGCTTATTAAGAGATAAAACTGAAGTCGAGGAAATCTCGAAAGACACCTGGTACAACACACAACCTCAGCGCAGCAAAAATACAGTTTCTCTACTAAGAAGAAGAACGCAGATCACATATATCAGGCACACCAAATGATTAAGACAACAAATCAATCTAATGATGATAATGTCTGTAAGTGTTTATGTTTGTCATTAATCAGAGAGGACAGGAGGAAGACGTTTTAGGTTTGTTACCAGTGAGATATTATTGAGTTTATACAGTACGTGTTATACATTTTGTGTTTATCTTTGCTGTTGCTGCTCTGGAAACAATATTCTGTTATATTTAATATATAAATCAATTCTAACCCTGTTCAGGACAGTTCTTCCTAACGTCTGAGAGTAAATAGAAAAGAAAAACTACAACCTGTGTGGGTTTTTTTTAATAAATATTGTAATAATAATAGTTTAAAATGATCACTTTTTTAGGTGTAAAGAGGGAGGAGGTGGGTACCACACTGAGAAATGTTGTGTTTTTGTGCTGGTAGTGTTGATAGCGATACTAGGTTATGAAATACACAACCTGATACAGGAAAATATACAACGTGGGGACAGAAATCTTGTTAGAGTTCTATTAGCGGCAACCGAGAAGGCAATCACGAGGAAAATGGTTCCAAGTGGACCCACCTACCCTCAGGCACACACACATTGTGAGTTTAATGAAAAAACGAGAGAAGCTTATAAAACTCATCACGAGGACACAGCAAAAAAAAACATTGTGTAAAAATGTGAAAACTGTGGGATAGATTTATTATGAAATGTCTGCTGTCAGTGAATTTGAGAGAAAGAGGGGGCCAGATGCATCCTGAGTGCCGTACAGTACAGTCATTGTGGAGTTTAAATTCAAGTTTAATGAACAAAAGTCCCCCTCATCTCGGGGCGGGCGGACCACTGGAGGACCAGGACTCTCAGACTCTCTCTAGAGTTGAGTCTGTCACCTGAGAGAAGAGGAGGTGACCGTTCTCGTCACACGGCAGCATGTCGTCCACGAGCACCGTGGTCCACGAGCCGTCTTTGCACAGGCGCACCTGATAGGCTCCTTCTGTGCACAGCTGCCGGGTCACCATCACTTTCTCCACCAGCTCGGGACGTTCAGCCAGAACAGCCAAGGCACTCAGGAACCTGAAAACGACCAGTGAAATACATTTAAAGTGTGTTGTAATTGTAAGGTGGAGCTAGTTTTACGGCGTAGGCGTCGGGTTGGCTCACCAGCAGTTACCCAGAAGTCCCTGCAGGATGTCAGATGGGCGAGGCGTGCGGAAAATGGACCACTTTACGACGCGCTCTCTCAAGTTGCAGCAGTTGATTTCTTGAGGACGAAGCCACTTTCTGACCCGATGTTGGACACTGTCGTCCGCCGGGAAGCCGACGGACTTCGGACCGGGAGGGAAGCTGTCGTCCACAAACGTCACTGCGTTCTGGGAGAGAGCGAATCGAGAACCTCAAGGGGCGTTGTAGAAATTCAGACGCTTGTTAAAAAAGGTAGAAAATCACAATCACATTTTCATATAGAGCTTTAGTGGCTGCTGTTGTGGCATTTTGATGTGTTAGTTTAATTATTATCAGTGTGTTTGACTGTTTTAGACACATCTGGGGTTGTTTTATGTTGCTATTTAGGTTGTTTTTAGGATGAATAATGTTGTGATTGTATTAGAAACGTTATTTATGAGTTTAATCCAAATTAAAAACCTAC